AACAAACATTTCATTCGTGTTCACCACTTACACAAAATATTTTCTATTGAAAGTTGCTATTTTAGTGCCAAATATTATATAAAACTAATCACCAGACTCTATAATTGAACCACATAGACATTTTTGTAGAACTATCATAACTGCACAAAATCTTTAATGGAAGTACCTTTAAGCCGGTATCTTGTAGCTGTTGTTCAACTGTCCCATAGGATTTTCATGAGGTCCTTTGAGACTTCAATGAATATTAATGTAAACATTTGCAGGAGTTTTAGTATTAGGTCCGAAAAATTATTTCTAAAAATATTTGCTTATCAACACTGATATTTGTGAATATGTTGAAATTGTCCATGATGCACCTAAGTCCCAGTTAGTCCAGCTCCAGCTGGACTAGTTTTATTATAGTCAACTCCAATTTGTTTAATTTTCTCCTATATTTTTAATGATTATAGTTGATATCTAAATGCGCAGACCCTCCACTTATTTACTAATTACCAAATACATGTGGTATTATTTATTCCTCTCGACAATGGTTCATTTTAAGTTAGTCTCCCAAATTATGATTTTAAACAGCTGGATCTCTCATAGAGGTAGACTTGGTCCCTGGATTCACCATTTAAAGGAGCAACTGAGAAAATGAAGCTTTTTCACAAGTTAAAAAAAAAAAAAAATTCCATTATTCACTGAGAACTACTGTGCAGTTGTTTCCCAAAGTATTTCTTAATCACTTTCATCCAAACAGTTTTGAGAAAGCCTGGGACAAACCAGGATGACCTCTCAAAGGGAGTCCACTTAATAGTTTATTATGCAATTCAACTTTGTTGTGCCATCTAATGGCAAATTCGGCATTTCAGAGTTTCCAAAAATCTACTAAAAATAAGCCAGTGATGCTCGTGACAAACTAAAACGTGTAAAGTCAAATATTTAATATCTAACACTAGTTACTGAGTTATTTCTACGCATGTGCTCAGCACAGTGCTATTTCACAGATATTATCTCCTTCAATGTTTACAACCAACATATAAAATCGGTTATTATTCTATTTTTACACATGAAGAAACTGAGACTTAAAGAAGTTTAGCAACTTGTCTTTGTTGACAAGTGGCAAAGCTAAGATCAAAACCCAGACAGGTTGGACTTCAGAGCACCTCCTCTGCCCTATCCTTTCCCACGTACCAGCTCCACAGGGGTTCCCAGATCAATCAGATAATACCATCTACTCTCAACCACCATGTAGCTCAGGAAGAGAGATAGGATGCCTTCCCAAATAATTGTAATTCAAGGTAATAATGTAAGAATCAGCGTAAGAGAAGCCTAGATCAAGTTACGAAGTAGTTCAGATGAACACAGATTACTTCAAGATGTGGAAACCAGGAGGATACTTTTTATTTGGGATGGGCTGGAGGGAGGAGAGGAACAAAGAGCAATAAAAGAATGTAATTACTCTTTGCTGCATGCCAATCCATTTATCAGATACAGTAGGAAACAGCTTTGTTATCTTCTTTGATGTTCAGAACAACCATACAAGTACTACCACAACATTGCATAAGATAAAGCCAGTCAGTGGCTTAACTAAAATTTATATCCAGTGCCCCTGCATTACGGTCTGCCCTTTTAATTTCTTTCTTTCTTTCTTTAATTTTCTTTTTTTCTCTAATTTCTTTCTTTTTTTCTTTTTTCCTGACCACCTTGAGTAGGTCACTCTTTGATGTTTGCAGCTCATGGGCACCTTTTGCTAATTTGTCAGACCAAAGAGAATATTTTCCTATTTTGCACAAATGAGCATCATAAACTAGATGATTAGATGCAAGACAAGGAAAAGGAATCCTCAAAACAGCCTCAAAAATTCTGTTCTCAGGGCAGAGTTCATGCTGGATTTCCTGCCAGATTCAGAGTTGAAGGCAGGAGACACTTGGCTTGCTAATTTTTATTTCCTCCTCTCCCCACTTCCCTCCAGTTCAGCCTCCCTCCCTCTTTCCTTCTTTCTATAATCAGTTGTTCTGAACCATGATATGCCAGACACTGTACTGGGCTATGGAGAAAACAACAGGTAAGATCTTTGCTCTTATTTAGCTTCACACAAGACAGAAGCTGTATTACATAGTAGTTAAAGCCAAATAGATCGCATGGATTGCTTGTCCCAGCCCAGTCACTTACTAGGTGTACCAGCTGAATAAGCTATGAAACTTTCTGGGCCTAAATTCTTTGTTCTGTAAGTATGGATATGGACAGATCTACCTCACAGGGTTGTTACGTGCTATCAGACAGTAGTAGCACAGTGCCTGGAATATGGTGAGCATTACAGAGTTGTCATTATAGTCGTTATGTACTACAGTTACTTTATACTCTTAGGAGTGAGTGGATTGGTTTGTCCAAGGTGTAGTAGAAACTGCAGCTCAAACTCTTCTCTCAAATGATGGAAACCAATTCATTGACAAAGACAGTCTTCAGAGAAGGATCATCCTCCCCTCCTAACATGAAGAAAAATCCTTCATTACCTGTTTTTATATATTAAGGATCACTATTAATGAACAAAAAACGGGCTGAATACAGGTTCCTGAGAAAAGACACTCTTCTCAAATTTGCCTTTTAGCAGATCTTACCAACATTTCTTACAACTGCGGAGTTCCTTTCAAGTTATTTGGGATATATGTTTCTTCCATCAAGAGGAGAAAAAAAAAGGGGGGGACTAAAAGGCAAATGGGATACAAGAAAAGATTAACCTGGATGACTGCCTATATGAGAATTTCTTGAGAACAGAATTCCAGTCTCATTCATCTTGGTAACCCTGGTAGGGTGTCTAGACTGATTATAGGGGCTCAAATATAGCCTGTCTAAATTCTAAGTGTTTACCACACACTTTATTCTTCCCAGTAGCATTTCAGAGTGGGTACCACCAATCTCATTTTATAGATAAGAAAAAGGAAAAGCCCTGATTGTTAAACAACTACTCAACCTTACAAAAGTGCAGAACCAATCTGTTCTAAAGTTAATTCCCTTTTTCCACGTGAATGTCTCAAAAATGTTTGGTGAATGAATACAGAATTAAAATCAAATTCTGGAGATGCCTTTTATTTCAGATCCATGATCCAGGAATATGACTCTAGACAAGGGAGGTTTCTTTAGGTAATGTTTCTCTCCTTCCCTTTAAAAGAGCTCAAAGCCAAAAATATAAGCCAGACATTATCAAAGAGCAAATGAATGTCTAGAAATAAACTGAGCATTTATAAAAGGATACACTAATTTGAACTTTGGGAAACAGGTGTTAAAATTTCAGATCACTTAATATTAAAACATGCCTTGGGGGAAAAATGTAATATGTAACTGCAAACTGTTGATGTATTTACAAAAAATAGTTCCTGACTTTGTAAGTTGTTACACAATACACTGAGTTTCTTATGGTTATAATCTTTCCTTTCCACTGAGATCATTCAGTCCCTCACTTGGATTGCTTTAAATGTAATGTGCTCAGTTAGAAGTAGAAGCTGGAGTTAGGATTGCTTCACCGGGGCTAAATATTAGTCACTTTGCTCAACCCTCATTTGCCCTCTGCAGTCCCCACCCAACTCTCGTTTTTCAGCCACACTCCACCAAATGCATACTTAGTGCTTGTGGTTCCAGTGACACAACACATTCAAGCTAACCTGTCTGTGGAAAGTTGGCAACCCTCTGAGTTCAGACTGGGGTTAGCCATGAAGCATGGGGTGACAGGAAATGGCATCCAATAGTCACTCCTTCCTCTGGTCCAGTCTTTTTCACATCACCTTCATCACTGCCCGCTATTTTATTCTTCTGCTGCGTCTCCTCTGGGACCCAAGAGGGAAGAAGGACATGAAATAACAGCTGTCCTAATGCCACTAACCAGCCCTCACGCAACGCAGCCTAGTCCTACTTATTTCTCCAGGAAAGGCAATCAAAAAACAATTATAGAGAAACCACTCCTCATTTCCTCTTCTATGTCTCTCGTGTGTGTGTGTGTGTGTGTGTAAAATTTTAATTTCCCTGGAATTGGAACTACAAAAGTCCCTCCTCAGCCCTACCGGGAAAGTGGTATTGGGCACGACCGCCCTTTCCAAGGCAGTCTGCAATCGTTTTCGCGGAAGTAGAGGAGAAAAGCGGGTAGAGAAGGGAGCTGCGATGCAGCATCTGTTGGGAAAACAGTTCGCACGTGAGCGGGCTCGCACGTGAGCGGGCTCGCAGCCTGTGGCGCCACCTGACCGGGCCTAGTGCCCCCAGTGTAGTGCAGTAGCCCAGGAAGCCCAGCAGGCACAGGCCCTCCTGAACCCTTGCCAAGTCAGCGCTCCCTTTCTGCCTGGGCTCAGGCCTCGCCCGCATACACTTTTCCATCTGCTTCCACCCCTGCCATCCTTCCTGGGGACCAAAAATGAAGAAAGACAACCCCCACGCCCCAATCCCCCGGTATTTCGTCTTCCCCTCGCAGCCTCTTCCTGTCCTGATCATCTGCTCAAAGAGAAGACATTCCCTACACACACTCTCACCACCCCCACCTCCACCTCCACCTTCTGCGGCAATGAAGCCACGCTACCCTAGGGGGTTCGGGGGCCGGATGCTGGCAGGGCGCGCACTAGAGACACGCAGCACTGCAAGCAGCCCTCGGAGTCCCGTGAGCCAGGGAGACTGGGGTGCACCGCGCCAAGCTGAGTCTAGGTGTAAAAGCCGAGAGCGTGGGTACCTCCTGGCCGAAAGCAAGCGGGGCGTTCCTTGCCCCGGACCCCGCGCACCCCCAGCAGCTCCCGGGCCGCTGTCGGCGCTCACTGGCTGACGCGAGCTCTCCTCCCGCGGCCGCTTCAGGGTTTTTTGTCTATATAAGGGCTCGCTGGCCAACTCTGCGTTGGCACGTTTGTCACAGGCTGGCCATTATTTGCACACACGCGTGCGGCTCCGCGGGCAGCTCGGGTCGCAGACGCAGGCTTTCGCTCCTCTTCGCCTGCGCCGCCTCCTCGCCCTCCTCCTCCGCCCCCTCCCTCCCCAGCTGTACTTACTTTATCTGGTCTCTGGCGCAGGGTGGGCGCTGCAGCCCTCTGTTCCCCGCAAGCCGCAGCCGGTTCGCCTTGCTGTCAACGGGTGAATGGAATTATTTATTTATTTATGGCCCCTGACGTGTCCTCGCCCGCCACAGCCAGCGGAAAAGGAGGCGGCGGCGGGAAAGGGAGGCGCGGCTGCTGAACGCCCTTGTGGGTGCGGAGGAGCGCGCGCCGGGGGTGGGGGCCGGACAGACTGCGGTGGAGGCCGGCCCGGGGGGTGGTGGGGGGGAGCCGCCTCCCGGTGCCTGGAGACCGACTGAGCATGCTCCAAGCGGCTGTCAAAGCTATAGGCAATTTGTCTATCGCTCGGGGCACTCCACTTCGGATTTTAGTTTTGACCAAGGAAGAAAGCCAAAAGGCAGGTAGATCTGTCGTTTCAGATGAGTCGTGACTTGCTGTATCCGAAGTACTCTGTAGCCTGACCTAGGAGTCAGGTGTGGGGTAGCTCTGTCTAGATATCCCAGAGAGTTGTGTAACCCATGCATGGGAGAGGAAAGCATGCAAAAAGAGAAGAGTCTGGCCGAATGCAGGGAGAATAGGAGATCCTCACTGTGAACTTGCAGTGAAAGTGTTGAGCCATTTTTCAACTGAGGCCTTTTTGGGAGAAGGAGGTAGTGCACTGTTGGAGATTAGACTCACTAACCAAATCACTTTACAGAAAAAAATAAAGTTGACACCATAGGCGGAAGGGCATAGAAAACAGCACCAAAAGACATTAAAAATAAGGATTTTTTTTTTCAAATCATTTATAAGTAATTCCTTTCATTTTTGGTTTCTCCAATTACTTAGTTCTTCAAACCAGCATTTAGTTATTTGACAACGAATAGTGCTAGAGAAAATGGTAATTCTGCAGTCATTGGTTTGGTCTCTTCCCCTGTCTAAAATATGCTTCTTGGGAAAGTTGGAAAGAGGAAGGGCTGGAAGAGAACGTTTAACCTACCCCAAAGATTGGGTTTCTTTAATAACTTTAATTGCCACTTTAGAGAAAAAGAAACTATCCAAAAGAATAATTGTAGGTTTTGACTTGGCAAGTCCTATTGCAGTTCGTCTACCAGTTTAACTAGCTTTCTCCTCCTTGATTTCACGATCATCCTTTTAAGATGTGTTCTATGATTCTTCACATCTTACAAATTTATAAAAAGATAGTTAAGTCATTTGGGTAAATTCACACTGTCTTTTGCCGCAGCTAGTCTGTTGTAATGGATAAAATTTGAATTTCAATTTCTGTAGCTATGAAATAAAAGTAATATCGATCTTGGGTTGATTTCATAAGATTTAAGTGAAATAATATACATGAAGTGGCTGGTAGGCATAATACAAGATGAATAAATCATGCTGATTAATAACTTCAAAATTATTGGAAGATAATTTTATTGAAAGAATGATATTTGAAACTAAAAAAAAGGCAGAAAATTACAGAAAGGATTTTATATTTTTAAGCTAAAAATGCTTAAATAGACGTTTGTGTAAGACATAATAGGCATTTTGATAATGATGGAATGTCTAGCAGTGACTCTAAATACTTCATTTAATTACAAAAAAGTTAAACATTTCAAAGAAACAACATAAAGGCACATTTCAAGGTCATATTCTTGAGTGTTTGCTATTGACATTTTTCCTGCTCATTCATCACTTTTATTTCCTGTCAAAGAAGAGGAAAAAGACCATATGCTTTCTGAATTTCGATCCTATTCTCCCTTTTCCTTCTCTTTGATTTTTCTTTTTTGTTGTTTTTTTCTTATAGTCCCATGTTCTTGGCTTGTTTAACCTACTGCTGAATGCCAAACATCACTACTTATAGCATGATATCATAACCTTCTTTTTAAGTCTTGTTTTTTCGACAATTAAAATTCTGGATCTAATTTACCTGCTGTCACAGAGTTAGTATTTGGGAACTCATTTCTAAATTGCTTTGTTGTGATAACTAGGTATGTCACGTAAAATTTGATTTGACTAGAAAGGAATCTGAAAGGAGGGAGAATCAGCTAAGAATAAATTCAGCCAATTTATCCTATTACTTATAGTTTAATATTGTTAAGAAATGGAGAAAAAAATACAATTTAGGGAAAAAACAAGCCACATGATTAGAACTTGGAATGCTCTGGTAAAATGTTTGCCTTGATTTCTTTTCATAAGCTGAAATAACAGTGAGAGAAACAAATAGCAATACACTTAACATTCTAGCAATACATATTCCACAGGTGAGCAAACTGTGAATACGTACATGACATATATACTCATGAAGTCCACATGTCTTTTACTATATACCCACATCCTTGTGGTTTAGGTTCTTTGTCCCTTCTTCATTCCTCAGTCATGCACAATCTTCTCACATTTTTCCGTCTTTTATCATTCACCGCCCTCTTTCCCATATCAAACTTGCCTAAGCCTTTTTTCTTCCTTTAATGCCCAGCAAATATATCATCACTTCTACAGCATTTTAAGGATTCCTTGTTAACAAATAAGGGTTAAGTTCATCTTTCTCTGTGATCCTGCCCATAGAAAATGATTTAGTCCTCTATCTGGGGCATTATCTTTCTGCTTCACATATGACTATATTATAATATGATTTTTGTTTCTGTAGCCCCAATATATTAGGTTATTTGAAAGTAGAGATGACATTTTATTCATCTCTGGCATTGTCACAGGCCTTTGAACCAGAGTGACTCCATCTTGAATAAGACCTGAGTAAAATGAGGCTGAGACTTATTGAGCTGCATTCCCAGGAGATTAAGGCATTCTTAGTCACAGAATAAGATAGGAGGTTAGCACAAGATGCAGGTCATAAAGACCTTGCTGATAAAACAGGCGGCAGTAAAGAAGCCAGCTTAAACCCACCAAAACCAAAATGGAGACAAAGGTGACCTCTGGTCCTCCTCACTCCTCATTATGTGCTAATTACAATGCATTAGGATGCTAAAAGATACTCCCTCCAGTGCCATGACAGTTTACAAATGCCATGGTAAGGTCAGGAAGTTACCCTGTAAGGTCTAAAATGGAGAGAAACCCTCTGTTCTGGGAACCCTCCGTTCCCACCCCTTTCCCAGAAAACTCGTGAATAATCCATCTCTTGTTAACATGTAATCAAGAGGTAATAATAAGTGTTAGCAGCTGAGCAGCCCATGCTGCTACTCTGCCTTGGGTGTAGCCATTTTTTGTTCCTTTACTTTCCTAGTACACCTGCTTTCACTTTATAGATTCACCCCAAATTATTTCTTGCATAAAATCCAAGAACCCTCTCTTGGGGTCTGGATCAGGGCTCCTTTCTGGTAACAGAATCATCTATCATGTAGCACAAATCCTTGCAGAGAGAAGGGTAATTAGTAGTGTTTGCTGAATGAAGAAAAGAGATGACAGTGTGGCTGTAGACAACACATATGTGGTAGAAGCTATTGGTGCTCTCAGTATCTATGATCTGCATGGCTACACACTTCCTGGCTTTCCTTACAGTTATATTGGGACAATGCAACTATGTAGTTCTAAAAGAGTATGAGTGGAAGTGACATGTGTAATTTCTGTTAAAGGGAGTTAAGACCCAGTGTGTCTCCTTCCTCACTCTCTTTCCCTACCACAGTACCATGTTTCTGATGAACTAGCTACAAAGTGGAATCGCTGAAAAAGAAAGACTGCTTGAATTGCACTGTACTTTGTGTGAGCAAGAAACCATTATTTTAAGCCTCAGAAATTTCAGGCTCTATTTGTCACGGGAACAAAACCTAGCCTATTCTGACCAATATAAGATATTACTTAAAAAGACTGTAAATCGGCCAGGCACAGTGGCTCATGGTTGTAATCCCAGCACTTAGGGAGGCCAAGGCAGGTAGATCACCTGAACTATTGGTGCTCACAATATTTATGATCTGCATGGCTCCACACTTCCTGGCTTTCCTTACAATTATATTGGGACCATGCAACTATGTAGTTCTAAAGCATATGGAAGTGACATGTATAAGAAGTTCAGGACTAACCTAGCCAACATGGTGAAACTCCATGTCAACTAAAAATACAAAAAAATTAGCCGGGCGTGGTGGCGGGCACCTATAATCCCAGCTACTTCGGGAGGCTGAGGCAGAAGAATCACTTGAATCTAGGAGACGCAGGTTGCAGTGAGCCGAGATCGTACCACTCACTCCAGCCTGAGTGACAAGAGCAAAATTCCATCTCAAAAAAAAAAAAAAATTGTAAATCATAATGGCATAAAATCCCCAATGAAACATTGAACTTTTGAAAATGCACTAATGTGTTCTTAAGTCAAAACTAAAAATATCGTCTCATGACCCCGAAATTCATATAATAGCATTTTCAGAGTAAGACTGTGAGATTAAAGTAAGGGTGTGTGTGTTTATAAACTACACACAATAGAGTCATTATAGCTAAGTACAAAAGACCAAATGTCCCAATGCTTCCCTCAACTTGGGTGAAAACAAATGTACACCTGTTCCAGTGGCAACATACTGTGGCTGAGATTGCAACTGGCTAGCAGCTGTGAATATGATTGCTGTAACCTGCTTTCACAGACTATACAAACTATAAAAATGTATCTCCACTGCTTCTAGATTTAAATCTTGAGTATATCTATATAGGCTACTTTGGAAATATCTTCTATGAAAAACTCCCATAGAATTTTGGGGAAAGACCATCTAGTCCAATTCTATAAAGCATATAAAAGGGGAATCAATTGCATTGACATTGCTGTATGGTATGCCTTTAAATAATAGCACACAAGGGTCTTTGGTTTAAAACAAAATGGCTTTTTTGGCTCCAAAAATCTCTCAATGGATTATGTATTAAAACACTTATTTGTTGGGGTATTTTTCTAAATTTACATTTTATCAATTATTATCTGTAAACTAAACTTAATGGATTCTGGGTGTTTTACAGATGCTTCACCACGTAAATATTCTGATTATTTTGAATGCATATAAGATTAGAAACTTAAATTAAAAGTTATCATCAGACTGTAAACTTTTCAGGCAGAAATCTTGTAAATGGTGGCTAATGAGTATTAATAATACATTTTATGAAATGAATCAATGATGACTGAATGTGTTATCAAGAAGCTAAGGCTTTAGTGCTTTTTTCTGTGCAGTTGATCTTTGTTGGGTTCCTTAAGCTCTCTGAGTCATAGGTTTTTACTTTAAGACCTTAATAATTATTAATAGCTTCGCTTTCTAAAATTCAGTGATACTTGTGAGCACTTCAAGGGTGCAAAGAGCCACAGAATTTATGCATAATCATAACTAATGAAGAAAACATTTATGTAGTTTTTTTTTCTATTAAACTAAAAATAAATGTTTACTTCTCAGATTTTGGAGAACAGTGTTAATTAGGATGCTTTGTAAAATGTGACCATAAATTTACCCACTTAATTTTTAATATTTGTATTACTTGCCATGTACCTGGAATGTCCTTGAAGGGTTAGTCATTGTTTGCATCAACATAATACCTCATAGGTCACAAGAGAGTTTCACGCAAAACACTCTCAACTGCAGGAAAGTTTCTTAGTAAACTGGGCTTTCAGCTGCTGTTGTTTTCGTTTCATTGCTCAAAGTTAAGGCCATGTTGCCATTCTGTTTTCCATTCAGGAACTTTTCTTCTGCTTTCCATCTGGCAGGAATTTTTGTGCCATTTTGCTATACAGGCATACCTCAGAGATAATGCATTTTCATTTCCAAACTACCTGAATAAAGTAAATATAGACATAAAGTGAATTACGTGAATTTTTTGGTTTTCCAGTGTATATAAAAGTTATGTTTACACTATATCATAGTCTGTTAAGTGTGGAATAGCCTATGTCTGAGAAAACACTGTATGTACCTTAATTAAAATTATCTTATTTCTAAGATATGCTAACCATCATATAAGTCTTCAGAGAGTCATCATCTTTTTGCTGGTGGAAGGTCTTGCCTTGAGGTTGATAGCTGCTGACTGATCAGGGTGGTGGTTGCTGAAGTTTACCGTGGCTGTGGCAATTTCTGAAAATGAAGTTTGCCTCATCAATTGAGTCTTCCTTTCAAGAAAGATTTCTCTATAGCATGTGATGCTGTTAGATAGCATTTGATCACTAAACCTTCTTTCAAAATTGGAGTCAACCCTTGCAAACCCTGATGCAGCTTTGTCAACCAAGATTATGTAATATTCTAAATCCTTTATTGTCATTTCACCAATAATGACAGCACCAGGAGTAGATTCTACTTCAACAAACCACTTTCTTTGCTCATCCATAAGAAGCAACTCTTCATCTGTTGGCAAGTTTTATCATGAGATTCTTATGATAAAATGAGCAAATTTAGTCAGCTTCAGTCTACACTTTTAATTCCAGTTATCTTGCTGTTTCCACTACATGTGCAGTTACTTCCTGCACTGAAGTCTTGAACCCCTCAAAAGTCATCCATGAGGGTTGGTATCAACTTCTTCAAAACTACTGTTAATGTTGCTATTTTGACCTCTTCCTATGAATCATAAATGTTCTTAATGGCATCTAGAATGGTGAATTATTTCCAGGTTTTCAATTTAGTTAGCCCATATTCATCAGAGAAGCCACTATCTGTGACAGCTATAGCCTTATAAAATATATTTCTTAATTGATGGGACTTGAAAGTTGAAATGACTCCTTGATCCATGGTCTGCAGAATAGACAATGTGTTAGCAATTATGAAAACAATGTTCATCTTTACATCTCTATCAGAGCTCTCAGGTGACCAGATGCATTGTAAATAAGCAGTAATATTTTGAAAGGCATCTTTTTTTTCTGAGAAGTAGGTCCCAACAGTGGACACATTTCCATTTAAATTTTCCATGTAAATGGAGTTGTAAATTGTAAAGCTTAATAGAAATAAAAGATGATATTATTATATATAACATATACACACATTTCTAAAATAAATAGTCCTTCAGAAATAAGATAGTAAAAGTTAATCTCAATGGTTTTTTAAAAGAAAAATTGGACAATTGCAAAATCTAGAAATAGTTTTCTACAGAAAATTAATCACTTCACTGGTATATTGCTCTAAATAAATTTCTTATTCCATTAATATTAGATGTTTATCTTTGGTTAACTATAAGAAGCAGCATTTATCACATAGCAGTTACAGACCCAGTTATTAAGTAGTGCACTAAAAAAAATATTTATTTTCCTCTGCAATTCAATCCAGTTTTACTCTGAGACTGAAATTCCTCCTCATAACTATTCTAGAGAGAATTTTATCTTTTTTCACTCTAGATATGGGATCTTTGAAAATTTTCCCTCTTTTGGTTGGGTGTGGTGGCTCACAGCTATAATCCCATACTTTGGGTGGTTAAAGCAGGTGGATCCCTTGCACCCAGGAGTTTTGAATGAGCCTGGGCAACCTAGCAAGACCCCATCTCTACAAAAAATAAAAAATATTAGTTTCATGTGGTGGTGTGCACCTGTAGTCCCAGCTACTTGGAAGACTGAGAGAGGATGGAACCCAGGAGTTAGAAGCTGCAGTGAGCTATGGTCGTGCCACTGCTACCCAGCATGGATGACAGAGTGAAACACTGTCCCTAAAAAAATAAATAGATTATTCCTATTTTTATTTGAAAGAGATTTTTTCCTTCCTTTCTGCTCTGCTTACTATTTGTGTGTTTTTACTATTTGTGTGTTTTAAAAAGGAGTATAAAAAAAGGAGTATTTAAAAAGGAGTATAAATTGACAATAATGTTATGCTCATAGATTTTTGTTTCCTGAACGAGTGTTGCTTGTCTCTGCTTTACAATGTCTGAAGCCCCAGCTGACAATACTGGAACACAAAAACACAAGCCTCTAATATCACCTAGAGGCTTTTTCAATCACATGTCTGATACTTGGGCAGGAATGACTGAAAGGCCAGGTTCACTTGGGCCTCCTGATTGGGGCACCTAAACATGGCTTCTCTATGTGGCTTGGGATTCTTAGAGCATGATAGCTGTGTTCCAAAATGTAGCATACTGAAAGATAGCCTTGCAAGAACAAGGTAGAAGTTAACCTAGACTCAGAAGTTTCTTGAGGCTTAAAATAACACAAATGTGTGAATTCACTGTTTTGTAAGTCAAAATTCTGAATGACTTGTGGTTCCTTTGCTCTGGGTCTCACAATCTGGGGGAAAATCTTCCAAGTTCTTTCAGGTTGCCAGCAGCACTCAGGCCCTTGCAATTGTAGGGCTGAGGTCCCCATGTCCTTGGTAGATGTCAGCTGGGAAACTATCAGCTCCTTAAGGCCACCTGAGTTGCTTGTCACATTGCCCCTTCATCTTCAAAAAGCAACAGAGCCTGGAGTCTTCTCATATTTCAAACTTCTCTGACTTTTTATTCTGCTGCATCTTTTCTGCTGCCATAACAGAATGTGATACGCTGGGTGGCTTAACCAACATTTATTTTTCACAGTTCTGGAAACTGGAAGTCAAAGATCATAGTGCCAGCATGAGCAGGTTCTTGGCGACAGCCTCTGCCTGGTTTACAGGTGGCCATCTTGCTGTGTCCTCACATGTCAGGGGGGTAATTCTCTTATTTACTTTTATGAAAGGAATTCCATCAGGAGGATTCCACCCTCATGACCTCATCTAAACCTCATTACCATCCGAAGGCCCCGTCTCCAAATACCATCACATTGTAAGTTAGAGTTTCAACATGTGAATTTTGAGGGGACACAAACATGCAGTTATTGGCAACTGTAAAGTTGGAGCAACCCCCATATTGAACTCTTGGTCTCTGTGGTAAAAGATATTATAGTAGAAAAGCCAAGCCTCTGAACCTAAGTCACCCTGCGCAGTACCCTGCATAGTATCACAGCCAATGAGGTTTATCTGAGGCACAATTATTGCTAATTGAAATCTTTTCGCAATATCTTGCCATGAAGACTTGAAATATAGTCATATAGTCAGTATTGGCAATTATTGACAGTCTCTATGGAGACTGAACAAAAACAAAACAAAATAAACCAAAAAATATATCACATAGTGGGGAAAAAGGGGACTCTCAGGAGATTAGTGCCACCCTTAAAGGAAGAAGGAGTGGTAGTCCGATGATATTCTAATTCACAAACTGGCTGCTATAGAAAATGAATAATTTCTGAAAGATAATTATAAACTACCACGAACTCAACCAAGTAGTAGCTCTGATTGCCACTGCCATGCCAGAAATGATATCTTTATTTAAGCAGATAAATATAAATACAGCCTCAAGTGCATATCATGGAGTCATTAACTGGGTGAATGCACACTTTTCTATGCCAATGAGAAAGGAAAGACGAGAGCCAGTTTGCATTCATATGGAATAGACCAAAAATAGTAACAATACATTTAGAGATTTTCTTCAAGGATTTCCTAATTTTCCTTTTCTCTCACATGATATAGGATGAAGAGATCTGACTATCTGGACCTCTCACAGAACATCACGCTGACCCATTACACTGGTAACATGATATTTATCAGACCCATTAAGACAGAGGTGCCTAACACACTGGAGTTCTTAGAAACACACATCACTCCTGTGAGTGGGAGGTAAACATAGTGAAGCTTAGAAATCTTCCACTTCTGTACAATTTTTTAGGGATTCAATAATGCAGGGTGTGTCAGAATAGCCCCTCCAGAGTAAAGATACATTATTACACTTTGCACTTCCTACCTTGAAAAAGGAAGTATAATGTCCATTAACCTCTTTGCATTTTTGGCAGCATATTTCAAACCTACAAATACTGCTGTAGCTCTTACCCTAAGGTATGTGAAAAGCTGCCATCTTTCAGTGGCGTTCAGAGGAAGAAAAGTCCTTATAATGTAAGCACCCTTCCCTGCTGAGAAACACAATCCAATAGGCCCTATGTTGTTGGTGGTAATCAGCCTGTTGGATTGTGTGTGCGTGTGTGTGTGTGTGTGTGTGTGTGTGTGTGTATTATATCATGTGGGCTTTGTGGAAATCCTCAGTGATATATACAAACTTATAGGCAGTAGCAAATGACCTGGCTGCTGATCAGAGGCCCATTTAACAGTAAACACCTTTACTACTAGAACTTGCACTAAAAATACTATGAAGAATAAAAAAGTTTATTTTTAGATAATGGAAATTATTTAAATAGCATGGTCTTGAACCTGAGGGAGCATTAATGTAATTACTAGTAAGACAACACATTAAAACCTCCCTGGGCCTCAAGACCATGCCTTTTGCAACACAGTATCTCATACCTTTTGAAAAACTACTGGCTACTGGGCCCTGGGAAAGAATGAGTGTCTGATATCAAATGAGCATGACCAGGAAATTGCCAGTTATCAGCTGAATCCTGTCAACCCCACCAAATCACAGGCAGATCCAGCAACGATGCATTATAAAATGGCAATGGTGCATGTGGGATCAAGCATGAGCAGCACCAGTGGGTACAAGAAAGTAACATGAGCAGTTAGCTCAGACTCCCATGGCACCCACAACTACTGCACCAACACACCTCCCTTAGCCACACATACGGCTATATGAGGGATCCCATACAGCCAGCAAAGAGGAGACAAAAAGACAAAATTTATTTTATGTATGCATCAGTTCAGCATAGACAGCTGCGCTGCAGCCTTATTCACGGTAGACTTAAAAAAACAGAGGTGAAGAAAGATCTGGCTAATGGGAAGAACTTCAGATGGTGTACCTTGTCATGCACATTGCTTGAAAAAAGATGTGGTCTAAGATTAGTATATATACAAACTCGTAGGCAGTAACAAATGATCTGGCTGCTGGTCAGAGGCCTGGAACGTAAAGAATAGGGAGAATGGGGACAAAGATGTCTGGAATACAGGTATATAGATGAACGCAAGGGAGTGGTCATAAAGTGTGAAGATGTTTATATCACATGTTGGTTCCCACCAGAGAGCGCTCATCACAGAAGAGTCGCTAAACAAGCAAGCACTCCAAGTGACCACTAGGTTGATGTCAGCCAGCTTCTGTCATTGACCATGCCAGTGCAGTTATGATGGACACATATAAAGCAGGAATGAGGGGAAAAAAAGTGGAGGCTATGCATAGACCCAAAAGCATGGAGCCTGACTTTTACCAAGGCTTATCTAGGAACTCCTTCTGCTAAGTATTCAATCTGCTGCAGTAGACACCAATGCCAAGGCCAGATATGGGACCATTCCTCCAGGAGGCCAATAGACCACTTTGTAGTAAGTTGTCTACACTGGGGCCCTTCAATCATGAAAAAGCCAGCATTTGATGCTCGTAGGAATAGACACATTTCACATACGAGTTTGCATTTTCTGCATACAGGACCTCAGCCAGCACTATTATTTGAGCTTATTTGATCCACTGTCTTGTTATCTCACATAACATCACATCAGATCAGGGGATGTACTTTTCAGTGAACGAGATGCTGGAGAGGAACCTAATTCATGTTATCTACTGGTCATTGCACCGACTGGATTCAAAGGTATCTGGCCTGATAGAGCATTACAATGGACTCTGAGGGCACAGCTGGAGTGTCAGCCCAGAGCCACCTGTCTGCAAAAATAGGGTACCATTCTCCAGAGTGTGTATACATTAAATTGATGGCACAACCTTGCTTACTCCCCCTTCTCTTCTCTTTTTTTTTTTTTTTTTTAAATTTATTTATTTATTTATTTTTTGAGATGGAGTCTCGCTCTGTCGCCCAGGCTGGAGTGCAGTGGCCAGATCTCAGCTCACTGCAAGCCCCGCCTCCCAGGTTTACACCGTTCTCCTGCCTCAGCCTCCTGAGTAGCTGGGACTACAGGCGCCCGCCACCTCTCCCGGCTAGTTTTTTGTACTTTTTAGTAGAGACGGGGTTTCACCATGTTAGCCAGGATGGTCTCGATCTCCTGACCTCGTGATCCGCCCGTCTCCGCCTCCAAAGTGCTGGGATTACAGGCTTGAGCCACCGCACCCGGCTTCCCTTCTCTTCTCTAATAAACACTTTGGCCCCTAAATTCAGTGTCATTGTATGCTTCTTGAGAAACCAATCTGTGACATTATAAATATTTCCTCAGTTTAGAAGTGAGTGAGGAACTGCAGACCAGGCACAATTTCTCTCGTCTTTGCATTTGAAATTCACTTTCAAGACACAGAACTTGTGAAATTCCTACACATATAGAATACATATCATCATTAAGCCAGTAGTTTTAAAAAGAGTTAAATATCAATTTTAAGCCCCTTCTTTCTAAACTCTGGTTATCTCTTGATTCACATGCAGTAATTTAATTTTGAGTATGTAGATTAAATCATACACATACATGTATTTTTTAGCTTTTATTAGCAAGCTCGCTTTTCTAAGTGAATCATGTTTACTTTTAATACATTTTTACCTAGGCTTTATGAAGTATAATTTACTTCCAGGAAAATTTACGTTTTGTAGGTATATAGTCTTATGAATTTTGACAAAAGTATACATCCGTGTAACCACTACTATAATTAAGTGGTCAGTTCACTAACTCTACCACCAGCCCTTGGAAACCACTGATGGAGGTTTTTGGTTTTGGTGTAAATACTTTGCAAATGCTTTTCTTCCTTTTTAAAAAATATTCTGCAACATTGTTTCTTTTTGACACTTTATCGCCCTTTGCCTGGTATTTTAGGATGACTCCAATTTAGTGATATCAGGACAGTCCTCAGGAATTTCCTCTTTTTTCCCTTTATGTTCTGGACCATCTTGTACCCACCTGGGGAGAGTTACCACTGCTGCAGGACATGATGTGTTAATCCACTTTCCACACTGCCTAGCTCTGGGACTTTACCTTCTGCCTTTTCTAATCAGTCAAGCTAGCTCCTTGTTTCTCAGAGTTCATTGCTTTAAGGTTCTCAAAGATTCTCTGCTTGAACTGAGTCATCACACACAGCCTCAAAGACTCGTGAAATGAAACGAATTTATGTTTCAACTCTAGTAATTCTATCACCTACTTTGTCCCTATAAGTCTTAGATTTAAAAGACTTACTGCTTCATTAAATTGCAAGCCCATTTAATGGGAAACACCTTTACTACTAGAACTTGAAGGAAAAATATTATGAAGAATAAAAAAGTTTATTTGAGATAATGGAAATGAATCTTAATTTAAGCCCTCATTAAGGTTCAAATAGATTATCAAAATGTTCTTCTAAATGATTTCCCTACTTCTAATTTTATTCCACCTTCAGCATTTTATCCTTTGTAAGGATATCTGTATTATCCTTCTCCCTACTAACTCTTCTATTGAAAGTGAAAGATTAAAAAGTGAAGAATAAAAAGAAATCACGTGAGAAGCTGATGTAACATTCAAGGTGATGTGCATGTTTATTTAAAATAATGCCCCTGTTCCCTATCCAATGTACTACAATGGCTGTTCTTCTGGGAAGCACTTTCAAGAAAGAAATATAGACATATAATATTTGCTTGTCCACTATAGCAACACTTTGTCATTCATGTAACATGTTTTGACCAAGCCTGAATTTCATGTTGTAATAGGAGAAAGCAATTTGGAAATTAGGGGAGTCCTATGTTCTTGTACCTTTTTGTAGTCTGAGAAGAGATTCAAGTTTGCAATACTATTTGCCTTATTGAGTCATAACGTCCTTTACTAAACATTTCCTTATGAGAATCTAGGAAGGATAAATCTATATAAAATCTATAACTCAGGATTTGATGAATGAATCTGCTACCTGTTTCTTAGAAAAAAAATCTGGGCATTTTTATTGTTATTTAGAACAAAAAAAACGGCTCACAAACCCATTAGTTTTCATTCCAAATTGTTGTAATTAAAATGATTATTCTTAATATTTCTTATTTCAATTTCCTTATAAATATAATTAGCCTTAATCAGGGCTTCTGATTTATTATTCATTTTACAGATGAAAACATTGCAATATTCTGGATGAATTTTTCACTTAAGTTATCCTCATGTTTTCCATATCTGATATTATTTGAACATTATCTAACGAATATTATTTTTATA